TATATAAAGAATTTGTTTTAAATACAAACCGTTGTATTTGTACAACCAATACAACCCAATAAATTGAGATATTTATGGAAATGATAAGAGTTCATTTATTATKATTTGAATATTTATGGAAGATGAATATGATTCATTAATTATGATCAATATTTTATATTRRRAAACAATTAAAACTTCTATGAAATCACATATTAATCAAATGAAATAAACTGTTAAGATTAGGTTGTATTGGTTGCACAAATATCAAAAGTTGTATAATAACCGACTTTTATATATAAAATTATTTTATTTTGAAGAAATCTTAATAAATAAAAGAAAACAAACAACCCACGAACAGAAAGCGATGATGCACGAGAGGAGTGGGTGATTCTGGTGGACTATTTACGTCCATGACGATAGCTAAGCTTTCTGTTATCCAATAAGATTCTGACACGTATATGTATGAGATAGGAGCCACGTTAGGTCATATTATCCAATAACATTGACCTTTGCATACCTGATACAACCTCATCATCTTAGCCAAATTACAAAAATATCCCTTCGGCTGTCCATAAAAAGTTAATTTCGGAGAAAACATATATGCAATTTTCGGTTCCTACACATGGGTCGACTTGAAATTGACTTGGTGAATGTTTAACAGTTGCTAAATGATTTGATATAGAATGATTAAGAGACTTTCATGATATAGTGCAAAATGAAATATAATTTTTACAACAAAATTAGGACGCTGAATGGTTAATGGAGGCTCAAGATACAAAATCATTCAGAGAATTTTAAAACCATTAAAATACAGACTTTTTTGCCAAACAAGATTCGCTTCTTAACATTTCAGAGGCTGCCTCTTAATGAAACTATTAAGAAGTAAACAAACAATTTCTTATTAAGTTCGGATTAAATTAAAAAAAAATGGCCATTGTTATCAATAATTGCACTGCCACTTGGCAATTTCTTATTTCTTCATGAAAAACATGAAACGACATCACCAAGTTTCCATATGGATCAAGAATCTTCGAGGTGCGTTGAATTTTGCATATTATGTATTTTAACTTTTTGATGGAATTAGTACCTTGCACACTTTTTCTGGTTAAAGGGTCCACTAAAATTGGTAAGAATTGTCACCCTTACTTATCGAGTAAGACTCTTTATCATAATCATCGTTCTTATCGGATAAGATTCTTGGTCTTTGCTATGTTGATCCGGTGAGGAAAATTGTCCGATAAACACTTTCCGGATAAACGTTTAATAAACGGCCCCTAAATTTAGGGAAATTGAATAGAAAAACAACACGTAAAGTGAGTTGGAAGTAGGTCCACCAGGGTTATTTTGGACAATTTCCTTCAAATTTATTACGGAAATTAATCGATTTATGTATGAAAAAGAATTTATTATCGTGGGAAAAAAACACAAAGAAACAATATTCTAACTTTTCCTTAAAAAAATATTCGAACTTCTTTGGAAGTGACTAGAAGGGTATTCGTACAATGCAGCGAGATATATCTCGATTTTAATGTTTCGTTTTATTATGTCCCTTTGTCAATGCTATAATACGGTTTTATGTGGTTTTGAGAAAAACGATAATGTTTTTATTTTTGAATAAAATATAAATTTGAAGATATCTTAAAATTTTCAAAAAAAACATATTGGTATTAGCATCAATTAAATTATTTAAAAAATCTTATTTTGTTGTGTAATTTCTTTAATTCAACTTTTTTTAATTATAACTTAATTTAGGTTTAAGAAGAAAATAATTTATTTTTGGTTTAATAATATAATTTTTTATAAAGATAATAATTAAGTATTCTGTTAGAACACAATGATTATCCTAATTATATTTTAGATTTTTTATATTTAAAATAAAATATTTATCTAGTATTTGATTATGTTTATCTGTAGTTAGTTACACAAATTCAAGTATGAAGTTTTAATATTATATACTTATACGTTATTTACTTGTAATCTTAAATTTTAAGTAATATATGCATCAATAAACAATATTTTATATTTAAAAAATAATTTTTAAAAGTTTTTTTTCAAATATTTTATAATATAGTATAGATAATTGATGAGGCTTTTTCACATTATAAAATATAAAAGTCAAAAAAATAAATAAGTATAAATAGTAGTATCTTGAATTGCATTTAATTAACAACGTGAGTGAATGGGCCCTTAAGGCCCACTGGGCCAAGTCATAGTGCTATCCAGGCTAGACTTCTTTTTGATTGTCAGCTACTCATACTCAACGTCGTTATTGTGGGCCATCCCATGTTTCACTTTTAAAGTCCAAATAAAAAATATATTTTTAGTAATATTCTTTTTGTTTTGTTTTGCCTATGTATATATTTTACTTATGTGGTTACAATTATGGCGTCAAATAACAATATATTTTTTTAAATTTGGTACTTTTAATTTTTCTTATTACAATAACATATTTTCAAAATATTTTTTATTAGGACATCGTACTTTCAAAAATTTACCCGTTATAACATTGGATAACCTTTTAAATTAAATTTACTTATTATACCAGATTTTTTTGTTACCTCATCTTCGAGTTTCATACTAATTTGTTCACTAATTTGAATAATAATCATCTCAAGTATAATCACGACCAAAGCTCATCTCGAAAAAAGGAGGCCAAGTGAAAAGATAACTTTGAACAACCTACGGGAAAATACTGTTGAGAAAGATGGAGAAGGTAGTAATTGTGACAAGGCGGTTCCACTTGATTAAATATCATTGTTAGACGAATGTGAATAGGAACATTTAAAAAAAACGTTCCACTTGTTTAGTTTTTGACATTACAAAGTAAGTCGTGAAATTTATGATGAACTCGTTGAATGAATGGTTTTTTACGAATATTTTTATTCGTGAAATAGTAATCTTTTGTAAACATGTTTAATTTATGATATTATAATTTTTAGTAAACATATTTGATTAAATTTACAATGCTTAAATAATAAAAATATTAAAATCAGAAGTACAATGCTCTAATAGAAATTAGTGATGTTATAATAAAGTAATTTTAAAAATACAATGTTATAATAAGAAATGTCATGTCAGCACTATCATACATGTGGACAGCCTACATAGACAATGAGGTAGCAAAGAAACCTGGTATAATGAGTAAATTTAATTTAAAGTTATTCAATGTTATAACGGGTAAATTTTTGAAAGTACGATGCTCTAATAAAAAATATTTTAAAAAATAAATTGATGTAATAAAAAAAAAAACTGAATTTTTATCCTTATAATTGTAGTAAGAAAAAAAGGTTATATATGGTTAGAGTGCTGAAAACCGCACAAAATGCATGTGGATATACTTATAAAAATGGTAGACTTTATTTATTCTGTTAAAAGTAGTATTATTAAATAACTTATTTATTCAAGAAAATCAATTGTTAACTTTTTTTCTGAAAAAAAAAAGATAAAAGAGGACATAAATAGTAGGTCTAGGATATTATGTGATTGGATGGCCCGTGAAACTCGGCTCATTTGACCCGATAAAAAAAAAAGCAGGTTTAGAAAACCATTTTCGAAAAATGACCTTGAGTCGGTTTGTTAATATTAATAAGCGGACATGAATGATTCAAAAATAATTTGGACAAACTCGACCGACAAATTATACATTTTTCTCACAATTTAATCAATTAAAATTTATTTTTATAAACAAACTTATAGAAGCCCACGTTAGCCGGTTATGGGCCTGGGCACCACCTGCATATACTTGACATTTAGGCCCAAGAATAAGACCAGCCCGTTCAGGCCCGAGAAAAGACCGAGACGCTTATAAAGCAGGTAAGAACAACTTATCAAACCCATAAAAGAAGGTTTGGCTTTGTTATACTTGGGAACAAAATGGATTAAGCCCGACCCAAGTTCACAAACGACAACCTCTAATTTGATCCACCTAAGAAGGCTATTTGCACATCTGCTTCAGACTCGAAGGCAAGTGAAAGTAGAAAATGCTAACATCAAATCAAATCAAACAATCTCGGTATATCCAACAGAATGGTAAGATCTGAAAGAATACAATGTATGCAGATCTTACCTCCACCCAATGGGTAAAGTGGTTGTTTCTGAAAATAGGAAATGCTAAAAGTCACACTTCGAGCATTAAGCCACAAATACAACGCAAACCCAGCTCTTAATCATCACTTCATAAGTTTAAACATTTGACCCAAGTGTTTAATGTTCCTTGTCTTGTTTCTGCATACTTCATTCCATTGATGTAAGGCAACATGGCTCTGTTCTTGTTTCTTTTGTTATGGGCTCCAGAAACGGGTTTTGACCCAATTTTGTAAATGAATCCACAGAAGCTGCGAGCCACGATCACCTCTCGATGATCCTGTTTCGATGAGATGAAAAGAAAGAACACTTGTATAAATTCATTATTGCAAAATTAACAAAACACCAAAAGCATGAATATACAAGCAGGCTAGCCTTGATGAAGCCATGACCCAATTTGACTTCCTCATGGGATCCACAGATAATCTGGTACATGGTTCATACAAAAAAAAAACCCTATGATCTTTGATTATTTCTAAACAGTCAAGAGTTGAGGTGAGAAAATTGTACTTACAGAATTGTAGCATGGTTATGCCCGAGAATCCCACAAAACACCAGCCATTTCTAGAGGGCCTATGATAATAAAATGAAGAACATTAGAACAATATAACTTTCGTGTTTTAGAAATGAGATCAAGTTCACAGTTCACAAGGAGTACCACCTGATAACAATCTAGCATTTCGACCTCGTACACAGGCAGCATCACTGGATCCCCAAATTAACCAATTTACTACCACATCCTGTGCACACAAACCCATCAAGACAACAACAAAAAAGAACTTTTAGCTTTCATCTTGATAGCAAAGGCATCATCTCAAGTGGTCTGGTTTGACCATTTGAAAAGTTCCCAAACCACCATTTGCGATCTGGTTTATTAGAAGGGTTAGACCACAAACACCCTTAATTTCAACATGGTATTTTGACCATTTTCATTTGCATATCTATCAAAATCAATTAAGAAACAGAAAATGTATCATTAGAATATGTAAAAGCATCACCTGGAACCAGGCAAAACTGCACACAGATATCTGCCGGTTGCAGCAAGTTGCCGCTGACTGATGCAAGAGTGTTCCATTAGTTTCGACAGTTACATCACTTCAAGGTTGCTGCTTCCCTTTGACAAAAACTGTAGAGCTGTGCTTTTCGTGATCCAAGCAGTCATCTCTGGCTGGTTTTCAAAAGGTTTGAGGGGATGCAGACTTCCATCCTCGAGTTGCACACCATAAACGAATGGAAGTCTAAGTGAGAGGAAACTTTCTGGTGGCAAAACCACCGGACATCCAAGGCTGAACTGCAGTTTCTGTTCACGCTCAGGGACAGATGGAGGTAGGCACGACATCTAAACATATGATCAAGTGGCGACTAATTAATTGATAAAAAGAGAAAGAATTTACTTTAAAAAAATAACCAAGAGATTAATATAATAGAACCCGAGCCAAGGCTCAATAGTTAGGCAAACCCAAATGTGCCAAGTCCATGGAGCCTATGCAAGCCGTAGCATATCATGGTAACTTTATGTTAAAGTTTTATTTTTTAACTTTGCACGAGCCCATGTGAATTGAACCAAGTCTCAAGCTTATACGAGCCTATACAAGTCCATAGGAACAAAGGCTAAATGAATCGAGCGAAGGTTCAAACTTATATAAGCCTATACTAGCCCATGATAACTGAGTCTCTATGAGCCGAGCCAAGTGTGAAGGACCGAAGTTTCAAGTTTGGGGACGCCATGCAGGCCTTCCGCAAGAAAGTATTCACCAACGAGCTGAGCCTCAACCCTAGCAAAGCACAGGCTCAACTCAGCTCAAATATACCCCTAAACATAGCGAGTCATTTAACCTAAAATAATTTGAAATCATAGAAATTTCAATGGCAACAGATGATTAATTTCATCTTTTCCTTTAAACCCATGATGATAATACATACAAGTAGATGAAGGATTTCGAAGGGTACCTCAAATTGAATAACTGGACATGCAGCCAAGACCGTTGGGAAGGGAGGTGTGACCTGCAAATAGATGATGGTATTCCACAAGAGTTATTATATAATTATATACGAATATATCCAGGAAAATTATTATATACAATCAGACCCAAATCGGTAAACATAAGCATGTTTGAGAAACTACACCTAAACTCAACAAAAGCTCATGTCTAAATCATTCTTTTGGCTTGCTTATATTAGTTTATCCATTATCAAAGCACCTTGTATCCTTATTGTTTAGATTACTCCTATGCCATTAATGGCATAATATCATAAGCCAATTAACACATGAATGAAACAAGAATAAGGACGGCAGACTTCTCAGAAATCAACCAAAAAGCACGACAGAATGAATTGTGCAAGTTTCTGTCACTCAGAGACATGAATCATCTAACCTAATTGAAATAATTCAATCATAACCTCATTGGTTGCTACTAACCAACAAGTTTAAAGAAAAATGTGCGAAAAAGACAAATATAAATGAAAATCAAATGAGTACGAGAAGGAATCAATGCCATTAAGTGATTAAACAGAAGCAAGTAATGATAAAAGAAATCTTACCAGAAAGATTCTCTGGAGCTGTGATATTGTGCCAGCAAATTGAACATTTGGCGGGTCGCTTTTACTCTTATGGATCTGGCAATGTGGGCAATTTAAGTATAATGGTAAATTTCTATCGAGTAGAGGAAAAACCCCAGTGCCATTATCATCAAGAGTTGTTGACTGAAGACTTCCTTCGATATCTTTCATGTAATCACTTTTCATGAGACCATTCTGTTCCTTTCGTGACCGAGATACATGCAACATGGCATCCAGTCCTTGTTTACCATTTGCCGCTACTTCTTTTAACTTTCCCGGATGTCTCACCTTACTAACAGCAGCATTAACCATCCTATTTGAGTGTCGATGGACTTTACCATGGCCACCATGCTTGCCCATTTTAGAAAGATCTACCCCTTTACGGTCAGAACTTTCAACAGACGAATGATAATGAGATTCTTCATCCACTGCATAAATTGAGCCAAGCCCTTTGAGATGGTCTGGTGTCAATATGAATCGGTGTCCACAGGGACATTCATGCTCAAATCCAATATATACTAGCACCTGATTTAAAGCACGTAGGTTGGTGTTTTCCCTACTGTTCATAGTTACTATATTACCAGTACTACCCAACTTCAAAAATGGATTACCGTTAGCATTCCCATTTCCGTCCACAGTTTCATGAACAGATGAAATATTTTCAACCTTTTTAGACCCCTGATTACCATTGGTGTCATGCACTTTCACCATGCTAGTTTCTCCAGCATGCTTTTCCTTGGTAACATTTTCTGAAGCTTTCTTCTTTGATTGAAGTGGAGGGAACCCAGAACTTGTAGCTGCTGATCCGGCAACAACCTCAGAGAACGGTTTTTTCATCGTAAAACTGGGAAGAACTTTAACAGAGTTACTTTTATTGTCATCAGAATTATTGGTTTTACCGTGCATTTCCACCCCGTTGTGTAATTCCCCGGGAGCAAGGCCTTCTTTCTCTACCTTTGCATCGAGAACGCCTTCAACCCTCGAATCGTTACTTGATTCATTCATAGAATAACCATGTAAAATACTAGTGGGTTCCTTGTGTTTTTCAAGAAAAAATTTCCACTTAAGAAGAAACTTCTCTGTAGAAGAAAACCCGCTTTGAAGTAGACCTTTAGAAGGTTGATAGTACCTCGATCCCCCAATTCGGATTAAACTCCAAGATGACGATTGAATAGGCCCGTCTGAATTGACTTGTGGTAAATGAAGGGTGGGAAGAAGCTTATCACACTCTGGGTAACAACTAAAAGTCACATTAGCAGTTTCAAAATCAAAAGGATCTGAACGCAATTTCCTTGATCGGCCACAAGCACATGCATGAAGAAACACAAAACCACTAGAATGTGGTTTGATATCATTGCTTGATAACGAATCCTCGGTCTTCAAGTCATGTCTTTGGTGAATGCATGATTTTCCTGTCAAACTAACTGCATCACACAGTTGCCTACCAGAAATCCAAATAGATGTGCACTCATCCTCCAATTTTTTTAAATAATGATGTACAGCTGGTCCTTTGACCATTGATTTAAAAAACGAAAGTGCTTTCCCCAGGTGTGCCTCATGTTGGGATGTTGGATAACATGCCGGCAAATCATTTAAGTAAACATCTTTAGCAACCGGTAGGGCTCTTTGGCACCATGAAATCGAGAATTTAGTGTTGAGTCCTCTACTGCTATCCAAATATGTCGCTGCAAGTTCTAGAGGGTCGCTGACTTTTGAAGGACTGCCTTCAACCGTTGGCGAAACATTATTGCGTTTGGATCTTCTTTTGCTTTGTTCAGGCTCTGGTTCAGGTAGGAACCCAGGTTTAGCAGAAAGAAGCCCATATAAAATGGTTTGACTGGAAGACAACCAGACATCAAGATTTGGAAGTTCCGGAGTTGCACAAGGTTTTCCAGAAGCTACAGAGGCAGCGGCGGCGGCAGCAGCTACCGCCACCATTCCAACACCAGCAGCCGAGACACTGTTTGCATTTGAAACCATATTCCCTCGACCTCTTAAAATATCACATTGCCTGTAAATAAACTCTTTTACAGAAAGAATATCCTCTTTGTTTGAACTCTGGCTATGATTCTCGAGTAGAAGTGAATCTGAGGTCGATATACCGTTGAGAACATTTTCCACAATGCTAGTGGCAAACTCCAAGGATTCACCTGCCTGGTTTGACAATCTGTCGAGAAGCAAAACAGCTTTAGACGCATCAAGAGAAAACAAAGGCGCCAGACTTGAAACGGCCCCACTTCTTGAACCAGGAGGACCGGTTTCAGAACCTGAAAGTACCCGACATTTTTTAATTGAAAACCGGATCTGTGCCTCAAGAGATGACTGCAATTTCTTCTTGAAACTGCCTTCGGATTTTGTGACAGGGCGTGATAGCACAACTATTGAACCAGACCCTTTCACAGGCAAAGTAGGCCTACCTAAACTATTCAAAGATGAAGACTGATATGATGATGTAGACTCTGCTGGCTCATCTGGGTTAGAACCAGGGTCAAAGATATCATCAAGAAAAACAAAAAGAATAACCGGAGTACACTGTCCAGGAAAGAAAGATGTGTGTGAACCTAAACCTGACATTAGTGTAATTGAAGAAGCGTTGCGACTCATAGCGGGACCATTTTTACCAGGAGATCGGTTTTTAGAAGGTCCTCCTGATGGAGAAGTTCGTGAAGAAGGCGATGTATGTGACCTTGATGTCGTGGGTTGTAGTGTTTGTGATTTAATAAATGGAAACATCGCATATTTAGCACCTTGTAACACTCGAAACTTTTTCAACATCTGGATATCAAAGCATGAGCCCTCCTGCATAAATATGACCACATGGCAAACCTGCATTTAAGATGGCAGTGAGTCGATGACAAAAATGAGTAGAGTAGTCCAAGATTAATGTAAAATTTCTATAAATTCACCAAGATATTCAATTTTGGTTAATGTGGCAGAAACTTATTTGTCACTCCTCATAAAGGAAGCATAAGAAATTGAAAGTTCCACACAGGGTTCTAAATGGCGTAAGGTGTGGCATGGCAGAGAGGTCAAGCCTCAAGCCTTGCACGCCATGGCAAGGAAGCAATGTTTTTCAAGGTGTGACATAAGGTAGCAAATTTGTATATCATATATTATAGCTGTTAAGCGCGCCTGAGGCACGCCTAGGCTCAGGGTCTTGGGCTTTTTTGAAGTCAAAGTTTGGCATATTCACGAGGCTCACTAAGGCGTTGTGCCTTGGCTTAGGCGCCTTGTGGGCCTAGGTGCTCCTCATAAAGAGTTATTAGATACCTAGTCAAACCCTAATATTAAATAAGTTTTCTCATCTTCTCTTCTCCATTACTTCTTAACAAAAGAGTTATTAAACAAATGACATAAGTCAAACCCTAATACTAAATACCCAGTCCTTAGAACTTCAAGCATCCTTCTATATAAATACCCAGACCTTAAAACTTCTCCCTCGTGGCTCACGCTTTAAACCCTTCCCCCTTTTGCCTCTGTCAAAGTATTGTCGGTTGCTGCATTGGAGGCTTGTACTTGATGCATATTTGAGTTCTGTGTAACGCCTAAGTGCGCCTTAAGCCTTTAAGAACTTTGTCATATAAAGAATTATATATATATATATATATATGTTCTCTATATATTATTCAATGAGATAATGATATTAAAAATTTTAAATTTATATTAGAAGAAGAAAAATCATATACATTAGTATTATATAAATAGTCGTTGATTAAATATTTAAAATAGAACTTGGAAAGGCAATTTCACAACTTCGTTTTTATCGTAAGTCCATGACACATGTGAATACGTGAAACTGTGAGTGATGTAATTAAGCAAGTCTAAAGCGAAAAGGGTAAAAGCACAAAAGCTAAAAATAAATAAATAAACCAGTTTTTTAAGAAGTCACGCCTTGTAAAAAACACCTGCAACGGTGTGCCATGGCATGAGTCACACCTTACAGAAATGCGATAGAGCTTAGCATAACAGCAACGACATGTCTTATGCCATATGTGCATGGCGTGCCCTTTAGAACCCTGTTTCCACATGATTTCAACTTTATCATGTGTTGGTACATAGAAATGGACGCATGGTGAATCTGAGACATTTATCTTCCTTCTTTCATAATGTTAGTAGTAATCCCAACAATCGTTCATATTTGGGATTCTCCCTCAGTGCTACACATTTATTCGACAATATTCAAAGGTAAGAAGCAAGCATTGAAATAAATATAGGTCGTAACGTACTCCCACGTCAAGAATTAAGTGACCTACTTTCCTTCTTAATTCGTTGTCTACAAATGGCATTGTTTCAAATTTTGCAATATGCATGCAAGTAAAATTTTCGCTTTATAAGTTGCTCCACCATTATAACACCGTTTGATAGCTGTAACGGTCTTAAGTTAAGTCCTTGATATGTAGCCATTCTCAATAGCTCACGTCAGACTTGTTGAGATAGGATAAAAAGGTGTGTTACAAGAACTAAGAACAAATAAAGCTTAATTGTGTTCACAAACATAATTATATAAATGGTGTTCCTTCATGCTTTTATTTTCAGAAAATTCTTGTACTTAAATTGTCTATATCTTTTTACTTTTATTGCGACACTGCCAACACATGCTAGATTTTTCCTAGGTTTCCTCTCCAAAAGCTTCAACATAGTATGACTCTCTGCCTCTCAATTGTGCACCAAAAGGTCCACATTGGGATATCTAAACAAAAATTGTTCCCTCGTTTTCTCCTTATACTTACACTTCTCCTGAATATCCTGGTTTCTAATCATATCCAACCTTATGTGACCACATATCCACCTTAGCATTCACATTTTTTGCTACACCAATCTTGCAAAAATAAAATGGCAGTCTCTGTGTCACCCAAACCCATATAGCATGCCTCAGATCATGGTGACACTGATAATGTTGCTCTCCAGAAACCCAAGTTTTAACTAGTCTTGACTGATAAAAGCATGGATTCTAGGATGATATTCTCAACACCTTAGCTCATTGGTGACTATTCTTGTTTCATCTATTGACATGTATATGCAAAGATCGTAAGCAAGGCAAAAACAACAAAGATTTCATGGTGAGACTTGGTGTAATTCTGTAGTGATTGCCGGAAAAAATCCGCTTTGCTGCCACATGTTTTCCCAAACACCAAACTATGCTCCATAATCCAATCTCCAAGCTTCATTCTGCGTCCCATAAGCTTGACAACCTTTTAAGCTATGCAAGGAGCAGGGAGCTCAATTTTGCTTTTATAAATCAAGAAAACATGGGCTTCCTCCATCCATCAAGCATATTAAGTGCCTTAAGTTCAGCAAAAAGGTTTAGTTAGTCACACCATGGCTACATCGCCTAAGCATATCCAATCAATAAGGCTATTGTCTGGACAAACCCCTTACCAGTTTTTATTTTTCTTATGGTTTTCTTTATTTCTCACATTCTAAAAAAGAACCTATTATTACTGTCATCAAGAGATGTTCCTAGATCGTCCTCACACATTCTCCCCAATTATCAAAGTAATATCTCCACCTTTCGTTAAACCTCGGTTTCAAACTTTTGATCATTTTAAGTGTGTGGTTCTTGCTACTGAATGATGCATCTAATGTTATTAAGATCTTTAGTGTTTCACATCTACTACCAAGCTAGCATGTTGGACCATCTGATATTTAAACTAACCAAAAAGATTTGAGGCAAACCCAAGACAAATATACCCAAAATCACACACAAAGAATCAAGTGTTAGCATTGTTGCCGGAAAATAGATATCATAACGACAAAATTGTTAGGATAACAAATCATTTACCATTGTTACAGGGAAATCTATATTGGAATGAGGAAATTGTTAGGATAACTAATCATACAAGAAACAGTAGTTGCAAATAAACAAAAAGATGAACATGGTAATTTTGTGATTCAGCCATTTGCCTATTCTTGTTATAGATTTATGTGAAATTGTCAATGATTCAAAGAACAAACAGCCTTGTTCCTTTTATAATAGGAATTTTGACAAAAGAGAATATATGATAGACAAATTATCTGGGATAACAAGACGTTTTAGACCGCGTGCCGGCCAAGTCAGACTTCATATTCAGCAGATTTGAAATGGCATTACTGTGTTGTCCATAAGCAAAAAGATGGATGTCAACAGTTCTCTATTTTGGATGTGATCAAATACAATCCTATATATAATTTACCAGCTTTATCTAAATTTGAGTGCTAACAACACTCTTTAAAACTCAGTTGTAGCCACTCAGCCAGTATTATATGGTTCAATATAAATATATGGAATATGAACAAAACCAAACTACAATTTCAAATGCTAAATGCAACATCCAGAGTAATTGGTGTAGCAAAGAAACAAAATCAAGCAGGGAATGGGTCAATTTGGGGGAAAATAAACTCACAGAAAACATAAACAGCATCCCTTGAAGATCTCCAAACTCCTGCTTTTCAAAAACCGAATCAAACCCACTTGGAACCTCCGAAAACCCTTCCATAACCGTACATTTGGTAGAACAAAACTGCAAATACAAAACCCCTTTTGCCTCTTCATGATAATAACTAATTCTTCTTTGCTCAAACCAATTCTTGACCTCATCGCTTACGATTTCCCCTGTTTTCTCAAACCCCAATGCCACGTCAGCATTCCCGGAACCAAAAACATTGGCATCTATAATCCGGTTAATCAATTGACTCACATCCCCTTTGCGCCGTCCAACGAAGCCGACCACGACGACGCCGTTTTGTCGGAAAGTTGTTGAAGGTGGAGGAGGAAGAGGTGGAAGAGACGACGGGGGCGGTGGTTGATGGATGGTTGGGGGTGGTGGAGGTGGAACAGTGGTGGCGGAGGGAGGAGTGATGGGTGAGGAAGATGATGGAGGACGGATTAGAACACGCATAGGGGAGCGATTTGGTGCCGCCATGGAGAGTTGAGGGCGGGGTTTGAACTGGGCTCTCTTCTTCTATTTGGGCAGAAACTCCATTGAAAATGAACAATTAAGTGCAAATGCCCAATGGATCGTAAAAAGGAAGTACGAGGGTTATATTGGAACTTTTGAGATACCAATCTAACTCAATTACAAAATTAGTCCCTGATCTATTTATTAATTCGCATATTTGGTCCTTGTGAAAACTTCTATTTCTTTACCTTTTAATAATTCCATTAATAAGAAACCTCTAAATGGTTAAAAGGTGAATCATGTTTGGCAAAAAAAAAGTTTGTCTCCTAATGATTCTAAAATTCTCTAAATGATTTTGTATCTTAAGGTTCCCTTAACCATTCAGCACCCTAACCCTGAGAGTTTGGTTCATCGCAATTTACTTGTTCTAATCCCAACTGAATATTTTGTTTTCGACGATAAAGATAATTTAATTACATTGGAACTGCAAATCCTTTACCAGATAAATTTATCATTCCTTCCAGTATACCGTGTAATTAATTTTAGTCTGTATTCATTATTTTTATATGTTTTGTTATTTTACAAATTTATCATTCCTTAAACCACCATTATCGTTATTATGAATGTAAATTACAAAAATAGTCTTTGAGGTTTATAAAAAATCTCATTTTTCGTCCCTAACTTTTTGAAATTATAAGAAAAATGTTTCGATTTCATTACGGAATTGGTCCATGGTCATTAGGGGGGGTTTAGTTTTTGTCGTCAAGGAGAGACATTTTGGTCTTTTTGCCATTTTATTTAAAAAAACAGTATACATGTTCTTAAATCATATGTACTAATTGTTAAACACATTTAAAGAAACTAACCTACCACCCTAACATGAATCTCCCATCTTCACCCCTGCCCAGTTCCTGGTGTCGACAACTCCCCTGCCCTGCTCCTACTCCTACTCTGGTGACTGCAATCCCTCCCCCTTAGTTGATCGTGTTTAGTGTGCCCAAAACCTTACTCAAAGCAGTATATGCTTAAAATTTTAACTCAAATAAGCAATTTGTAGTCTCTGAACTCAGCGAAAGATGCAAGTTTCATCAACTCATGTATCAAGACTTCAATCAAGCCCCAAAACCTTTGTACTGCCGACAGGAGCATTAGATCTAACAGTGAAATCGAATAAGTTGTTATAAAGGTTGAAGCTTCAAAGTACATCAATGGTGATTGTTAGTTTAAGCTCGTGCAGAAGTCGAACCACTTCATTTAAATTGTTTTACGAGGTTGGATTGGATTAATGGACTGTTGGGGATCAAAACTTACAGGTGAATCAAACCAGGTTGATGTACAATAAACCTTCAAACTTGAGAATTCTCGGTGATTGCAACAAACGATTTAGACTTGCATCCATAAGTTGTTATACAATGTTAAAAATCCTTAATTTGAGGGCAGTTATAGTCCTTGAACAGTGGGGAGGTTGCAATCGTCGATAATTGGAAAGGAGGAGTTGTCGGCTCCGAAAACGGGGAGGAAATTAAGACAAGGGAGTCAGAGGGGGTCTTAGGTCAAGTTAGGTGGTTGTTTTTCTTTTTAATGAGTTAATGACATGTATGTAGATTTAAAGACTAGTACACTTTTTTTTAAGGAAAGGCAAAAAGACTGAAATGGCCCTCATGGTAGTAGGGGTGTTCACGATCCAGTTTGGACGGTTTAACCCCTCAAACCACAAACCAAACCACGATAACGGTTTAGGAAAAATTCTAAACCCAACGGTTTTGTAGCAAATAACCAAACCGGTCGAACGAGACCACAAAAAACGGTTTGGTCTGACCGATTTAGGTGTTTGGGCCTCTTATGGTTTTAAACTAAAAAAACATAACATCAATATCCAACATGAAAATTCTATCAATATAACATTATTAAAAAAATATTATATCCAATTTTAAAAATAACGTCTATCTCTAAAATTAAAAAAACTTTGATGAGACTGGAAAAATACACCAACAATAGCTGGAGTTTTGGACAAACACTGAGCACATTGAAAGACGATTTGGAATTTTAGATTTCATTTTTGACGAATTCCAAATACCTTTCAACTTAGATAACGCTATCAATTGATAAATGAAAACTAAAAACATTATGTCTTGGAATAACTTTTTCTAATCGGCCTATAAACCGATAAAGTTGAGTCCATAACATGGAAATTAAATATAATTAATACATGTGCGTTTTTGGATGTCGATTTGGTCCAGACCGCTCAAAAAAACGTTCAAGCTTCAGACTAAACTAAACCGAGCGGTTTGGCTATTTTTCAGACAGCAGTAGACCGCCAGACATTCAAACCGCAAAACTGGTCCCGTTCGATCGGTCTGAACGGTTCAAAAGTTTTTTTTGAACATCCCTACATTATAGCAACTAATGACCCTAACAACCATGGACCATTTATCTAACTAAAATGAAACCTTGATGATGTTCATTATAATTTAAAAAAGTTAGGGAAGAAAATCAGAGTCTTGTGTCTTAATTTTTTTTAAATGTCAGAGAAATAAATTGTGATCTACAATTTTTTAATATTGTTATATTAATAAATAATTCAAAAAAGTCTAATTAATTTAATATATTTTGGGACTCTTTGACATTACGTTTTTATGACATATATGGACCTATTCATGTTATAGGTGTCACATTGGCTTTATTCGAAATAGTCAAGTGTTTTACAAGGCCTTTTGGCTTGATTTTAACTCAAATGAGACCTCGGGAAATTGTCTTGTTTTAAGAGCTCATTATGGAGTTTTAGATGATAACACACGTAAATAATTCTGAAGGTTTAAATGATAATACCTTTTATCACATGTGATAATACACGTGCAAAAAATCTAGTGGTGTGTGTACAGCTTGGGCCGCTGTCTAGGTTGCCCCAAAGGTGGTTCACCTCCCTGATTTAATATACATGTGATGGGTTAGAGTATCACATTGAGAACTCATCGATATGATAACACACACGGGGGGGGGGGGGGGGGGGGGGGGGGGGGGGGGCTAGTAATTTGCGAGCGACTTAGCCCACAACGTAGGTCGCGTCTGATTTAGTGTTAGAAGTCTATCATATGTGATATGCAGGCCCGGACTGTTCCATTGTGTGCCATATAACATGGCCTCCAAAATAGGAGGAGCCAAAAATTCTATCAGTTGTAACTTAGCTCAATTCAAAAAAGAAAACATCACGACATGGTTCTTAATTGTTAAGTTCTTAGCTGCAACCTACTCGAGTTTTGCTAATTTTATCAGTTGTAAATACATCGACTGATCGATTCGATTTCTTATTTGTTTTTCGGCAACAACAACGACGTGACTCTCTAATTCGCAACTACACATCCTGTTGATTGGCTTTGGTCAAAGAATCATAATTTAAATCACTTCCCAACTACAAATTACTGTTCAAATTTGGCAACAACAAACACAAAAATCAGAATTGAAATCACTTCCAAATCTGAATCAACCACCCATTCTTCTGTGCGCCTTCAATTTCTATCTTGTTTACATCACGATTCGTTCTTTAGTCTTCCTCAAACCACTGATTCCTTGGCTACTGCAGTACTGTGCTCATTTAGATGCATTTAACTGTTAAGTTCAAGTAAGTAGTGAAACCTAAAACTAAAGATTCTAGCTGTTTTTCAGCTTCAATGGGTTGGTGTGTTGTGTAATTTTGATTTTATATTTCCCGTCGTTTCTAGACTCCATTTTCCAATTGCCAAGTGTCCTCTTTTAAATCAATAACTGGTTTGGTTCTCCTTGGCTTTGAAGATTAGAATAAGACTTTATGGAAAATGGAAGCACTCTGTTTTGCTAACATAAACATTAAGGCTGCGTTTGGTACATGGGACGGGGCAGAAAAGGATGGGACAAAACTCATTGTCTCATGTTTGACGCAACATGAAACATAACAAAAACTATTGTCCCGCGTTTGGCGCGACATAGGACATGAAAAAGAACTGGGACAATGTTGGACAACATGAGACAAAAAAAGTTTTTTTTTGTTCCACCAAAATAGTGGAACAAGATGGGACAAAAATGGGACATGAACTAAAATATTATCAATCTTAACCCTAATTTGACATATAACCATCTTCATGTCCTCTATAACCACCGTCGTCCACCAACCACCATTACCTCTAGAGGTGCTCACGGCCCGGGTTGATCGGTTTGGAGCCGTTTTAGTAACCCAACCCAATGTTGACGGTTTGAAAATTTTCAACTCAACCCAACCCAAACAAAAGTTCAACCCAACCCAACCCAACCCGTTCGGGTTGATCGGGTTGGTCGGGTTGTGTTTAAACAATGTAAAATCACATAAAAATAAAGGAAACTTTCCTTTGAAATATGACCGACTATTCAAGATAATATGCAAGTTCATCAAATATTTAGATATTACAATAAAAATATTCAAACCAAATGATAATACATCAATCAACAACAATAGTTTTAGACGTTTCCAACCCCGATGCTTTCGCTTTCTTGACGTTGAGGTTGGTCATGTCATGATTGTCATCTATAATTCAAAGCTAAAGTTAAGGTCGGGTTCATCGGGTTGGTCGGGTTTTTTTGGGCCTGACCCGATGTCAACCCAATAAGGTCGGGTTGGCTAATTTTTTTATCGATCATGCATCGGGTTACCTCGGGTTGGGTGTTTTTTTAAAAAATTCGGGTTAGGTTGGTCGGGTTCATCGGGTTCATCGGGTTTTTGAGCACCCCTAATTACCTCTACTTCTACAACCACAGCCAGTTTCCACTACTACCGTCGGCCACCACCACCACTACTACCATCAACTATATCAAAATTTTCATTCAATTTGGTACCATTATATATGTATGTATTCAATTTATGAAAGTTGTGTACAAATATTTATAAATTAAATCCGTTAACTATTTATTTTATTTGTGTTTAATTATAATTATTATATAATATTTAAAATCATCAAATCACTCTGGGGGTAGCTTGTCTAGTTCTGTCCCGTCCAGTCCTAGTCGTACCAATTACCAAACACTAGACATACTTTTGTTATGTCCAGTCCAGTCATACCCTTTTGTCATGTCCAGTCTTGCCCAACTATGTCTACGTACAAAATGCTACCTAAAAGGTGATATGGAAACTAGGTTGTGTGTTTCACATATGGTACTTAGGGGCTGTTTGGTTGCCTCTTAATGATGACATTAAGAGAAAACCTCTTAATCGGTCAGAGATACAAGCTGTTTGGCAAAAAAATAAGAAGCTCTTAACCATGACAAAATCCTCTTAACGATTTAGGGGTTAGGGGGCTCCTAAATGGTTCAGACGTATGTTCTTCCATTTTTGCCCTCTCAACCTTTTCCA